TGGCGGGGCGTGGCGGGGCGTGGCGGGGCGTGGCGGGCGGGGCGGGCGTGGCGCGGCGTGGCGTGGCGGGGCGGGGCGTGGCGTGGCGGGGCGGGCGGGCGGGGCGGGCGGGGCGGGGCGGGGCGTGGCGGGGCGTGGCGGCGCACGGCGCAGCGTCTGACCGCCACAAGGGCAACTCGTACGTGAGGATGCCCCCACTTCCCCCTCCCTGCGACTGCGCGTCAACACGTGGACCAGGACCGCGCCGAGCCAGACGAAGAGACGGTGCTGCTGCTGCTGCCGACGGCCGAATTAGGGAGCGGCAGACTGATTCCGACGGTCATTTTGGCCGCTGTTTCTCTCACACCGACACGTGAAGCCCCACGAGTGCGAGAGAGACGGAGCGACGGAAACGACTCCCGGAGTCACTCTGCAGGCTTCACGCAACGAGGTGGCCGCGTCGCGCGCGTCGCCCGCAGTCCCAACCCTAGACTCCAGGGACATTCCAAGCCAGTTCATACGGGGCCCCAAATTTCACACCTCGGATTTGGGTTCTGGTGACTTTTCTCCTGCCGCGGGCGCTATTTGCAAGTGGGCAGGGACGCGCAGGCTGCGTCGGTGCGACCTTTTCTCTCCGCTCTCGGTCAGGGAAGCACTGGGACTGTGGTGCCCATCGAGCGCCTGACTGGACTTGAGAGGCTTGAGATCGTACAATGCCGTTTCGGGACTGGGGGGGGACCCTGCGGGCAACCGGGCACGCCAGGCGCGCGGCGTTTTGTGTGCAGCGCGGCGCTCGCCCTGCAGGTCGCCGCGACGCGTCGCGACGCCGAGGCCTAGATCCTGGTGGAAAGTAAGCGACCCGCGGCGTGGGCGCCCCGTCCCCGCGGCGGGCGCGGCGCGGCGGCGGCGATCGCATTCCGGCCGTCGGCTTATTATTTCAGTCGGCCGGGCTGCATTGCTGCATTGCTGCATTGCTGCATGCCGCGCTGCAATGCTGGGCCGCGCCGGGAAAGGCGGCGGGGGCATTTAAATAAACATTATTCCGGCGGTGTAACTGGACCGGGCAGCGAGATGCAAACCAGCGCGAGTGGGAGGCGCGTGGATTATCCCGACATCCCGACTAACTGGAGCGCCCTCCGTCCCTCCCCCTCGCCGCCCTCGCCTCACCATCGCCCATCGCCTGCCATCGCACAGTGAGGCGGCCAAACCTCTAGACGCGTTTTGAGCTTTAGAGTCGCTAAACAGGACTCGAACTGGGCGTGTGACCCCACCAATGGATTCCTCGTTCGGAGAGCAATCCATTGGTGGGGTCACACATTTCGGTCGAGTCCTGTTCAGCGACTCTGGAGCTCCAAACGGGTCTGGGATTTTGACCGCCCCCACCTGGCTTCCGTCCCACTGTGCATCGCCCTCGCCAGCCTCGGCCGCCTCCCTGTTCTTCCTGGGTGTTCTTGGAGGCGTTCCTCGAGGCGCTCCTGGAGGTTCCGCGGCCCTTACATGTCGAAGGCGCGGCGCCAATTCCGCTGCCATCCAATCAGCCAGACACCTGCCGGAGCAGGATCGCCGCCGCGCCGTCCGGAGTCCGGACAGAGGTTCCGGAAGTCTGAGTGACTGGCGACCCATCAGGAAGCCCCGCGCCGCCGCCATGCTCGGGCCGCGCTCGGGTCGCCGCCTGCCGTCGGGCCCCTTCCTCTTCCCCTTTCTCGCACGTTGACCCACGCCCTGCCACTGGCCGTTCACGCCACCGCCAGAACACCAGAACCTGTTGCCCCACCACCACCCCCTGCCGCTACCTGCCGCCGGTGCTCGCGCCCACCGCGCCACCACGCCCGCTTGCAGCTCACGTCCTCGGGCCTGGCGGCGTGGCGGCCTGGCTGGCTTGGCTGCTTGGCCGGGTCGCCGGCTGGGGCCACGGGGCCGTGAGGGCGGCCGTGAGGACGGCCCGCCGCGCCGCGCTGCGGTCTGTGGCCTCGCAAGGCCACGGGCGCGACGCGGCGTGGATGGAGAGGGGCGTCGCGTCGCGGCGGAATCAATGTCCTGCGGGAGACTCATTCCGAGAGCCGTTGCCGTCGCTCTCTCTCGCACTCGCGGGGAGTCCCGTACAGGTGCGAGAGGGACAGAGCGACGAATACGACTCTCGGAACCAGTCTCCTGCTGACGCGCGTCGCCGTGCGCGGTGCGCGGTGCGTCTGCGTCAGTGACTCGGTGAGGTGGAATTTCGCGGGACCCTTTTAATCGCTATGGCCGCCGATTACCTGCGCTGCGCTCGGCCAGGCCGGAGCCAGGCCAGGCTCGGCTGACTCACGCTTGTTCCGCGGATGCAGCGCTCGCGGCGCTGCTGTTGCTCTGGTGAGCGCTTTCCGAACGGCGCCGCTCCGTCTCTCTCGCACTCTTGGGGCGTTCCGTAAGGGCGCGAGGCAGACGGAGACACGCGACGGAACGCTGTGCGGAACCAGCCTGCTGTTCGCGAAGCTGCGGCGGAGAGCTGTGCCCTGGGCTGCCCCAGGCCGCGTTGGATCTTTAGCTCCGCTGCGGCGCTGGACCGCGACGAACCGCGCCTCCCTCCCCCTCCACGCCATGCACGTCGTGCGGCACGTCGTGCGGCACGTCGTGCGGCACGTAGCGCCGTAGTACTGCACCGACCGGCTGCATTTTCTACTCCATCGCTCTACTTAATTAAGTCGGCCCAGCGCCGCCAGCGCAGGGCCCACTAGGCTGGGGCCACTAGGCTGGGCCCACTAGGCTGGGCCCACTAGGCTGGGGCCGCTGCGGTGCAGCAATGGCAGGCAAGGCAGTAAGCAAGGCAGCGCCAGGCAACGCATGCCTTGCAGCAACACAGACAGGCAGCAACGACGCGGCGGGGCGGCGCACAGTGGGCCAGAAGGCCGGCGCCGGCAGCCAAAACTCTTGACGCGTTTTGAGCTCCGGATTCGCTGAACAGGACTCGAACCGAACGTGTGACCACACCAAAGGATTGCTCTCCGAACGAGGAATCCATTAGTGGGGTCACACGCTCGGTTCGAGTCCCATTTAGCGACTCTGGAGCTCAAAACGCGTCCGGGATTGCGACCGCCTCCACCGGTCTTCTGGCCCACTGTGTGGCGACGGCGCGGCGGTGCGTTGCCCGCGTTTTTGTCCCCGCAGCCGGCAGGGCAAGCAGGCTGCGCTGGAGCCGGCCGAGACCGAGAAGCAGGAGGTGAGGCAAAGCCCGGCTGCGGCTGCGGCCCTGCGGGGTCACCGGCCGTCGCCGCCCCACCGCGTCCTAGCGTCCCTGCGGTACTCGCGCCGCCGCGCCGCTCTGCAGCAGACTGATTCCGGGAGGCTCGCTCTGTCCCTCTCGCACCTATACGGGGTGCCCCACGAGTGCGAGAGAGACAGAGCGACGAAAACGACTCTCGGAATCAGGCTGCAGAGTGGAGTGCTTTGTAGCTTTGCAGCAGGGAATGACTGCCCTCCTATTATCCCGCTTTTATTATCGCGTCGTCTTCGTCTTCGGCCGGCTTGCCGAAGCCGCGAAGCCAGGCGGCCTCGGAAGGGCTTTGGACTCGAAAGCCTTTTTCCATTCCCCGTTGCTCCATTCTGCTTTCCGGTGCAGCGCACGGCAGGGTCAAAAGCACGAGGCGCCAGCCAGACAGCCGGGCGGGCAGACAGACAGACGAACGAGTTTAGAGTGCGGCGCTTCATCGCTGATTGTCCCGCGGGCTTATTGCCCCGACTCAGGGTCAGCTTCGTTGGCTTTGCTAGCTTCGCTGGCGCCGGGTGCCGCTCACGCTGGACGCAGTTGACGCAGTGTGCTGGTATACTAGGGCGCTGCAGTGTTACAGTGCAGTGCGCCCGGGGGGTAGGCCGGCCCGCTAGGCCTACCTTGCGGCCTTCCTGACGGCCTACCTGACGGCCTGCCTGCCTCACTCCGTCGCCACCGCACTGCGGACCGACGTGTCCCGCGCACGATAAGCGTGTTTTAGCGGCCGCGTCGCCTCGGGTGATAAAGACAGGGCCTTGCGGGGCCTTGCCGGGCCTTGCGGGGCCTTGCGGGGCCTTGCGGGGCCGTGCCGGGCCTTGCCACCGCGGCACCGCCACACTGCAGCGCGTGGAGACGCGGCCGGCACGGCGAGCACGGCGAGCACGTCCAAGGCGACGCGCCAGAAACCGGCCGGACACGAGGTTGACGCAAACGCTGTTGTGTACTATCAGCGGCAAATAACAAAACAAACAAAGCCTGACCCGCTGCTTCCGCGCCTCCTGCGGTTTTGGCTCCATCCTTTTGCCAGGGATTGTCCCGACCGGAGTCCGACGGCCGCCATGCCAAAGTAAAGCTCTCTCGGGACGCGGAGTGCAGCGGCCGTGGCGTGCCGTGCCACAGTGGGCCGCAGGCGGACAAAACTCTAGACGCGTTGTGAGCTCCAGACTCGAACTAAACCTGTGACCCCACTAATGGATTCCTCGTTCGGAGAGCAATCGTGGTGTTGGGGTCACAGGTTCGGTTTCAGTCCCATTTTGCGACTCTGGAGCTCCAAACGCGTCCGGGATTGTGACCGCCTCCGCCGGTCTTCTGGCCCACTGCGCGTGGCGTGGCCGTGGCGTGGCCATGGCGTGGCATAGGGTGCACTGCCCTGCCCTGGCCGCGGGCATTGCGGGCATCGCGGGCATCGCGGTCCCTGAATGGACTCATCAGTGTGCCGTACCGGCCGTGCCTGCAGCTCGTGCGCGGTGCACTCGATGAATGGGAGCGGCGCAGTTTCACGCACGCACGCGCAGGGCACGGCCGCGCCCGCCTCGCACGCACGCTGATTATGATGCTGTATGCTACTCTCGTTACACAACCTCCGCCGGATCTTGCATTGTGCTGGGCGCACGCCGGCGTGCGCGTGTGTGTTTGTGCGCCCGTGTTGTGTGTACACCGGTGTACACTGTACACGTGTGGCATGTGTGTGATAGTACCGCTCCGCTGCGCTGCGATCCAGGCCTGGGTCACAGTTTTTTCGGCGCGCGATTTGACCCTCCCCGTTCTTGTCTCGCAGGTGGCCAGTTCGTTCGAGGAGCAGCGTCTGAGCACGCTTCCGCCAGGCCTGCAGGGCCATGTGGTCAACATGGGCACCCTGGGGCCGCGCGTCGAGCCCGGCGTCAACCCGGCCTTCAGCGTGGACGAGGAGTACGACGCCATGGACGCCTTCTTCAAGCAGGTAGGCGCCGTAGGCACAGTGGATTTGCCAGAAGACCGGTCGTGGAGGAGGCAAAGACCCTAGACGCGCATTTTGAGCTCCAGAGTCGGTAAACAGGATTCGAACCGAACGTGGGACTCCACTAGGATTCCTCGTTTGGAGAGCAATCCATTGAGGGGGGCACACGTACGGTTCGAGTCCCATTTAGCTAGCTACTCTGGAGCTCAAAACGCGTCTAGAGTTTTGGCCACCTCCACCGGTCTTCTGGCCTGCGGGTTCGGTTCCCGCCCTCCTCACTTCGGCCGCGGCCCAGCTGTCACTGTTGTTGTTCTTCTCATGCGCGGTGCACGGGTTCGAATCCCGACTGACTTCCTTTTCCCTTCGCTTCCAGGTGGAGGAGGCGCGCGCGCTCACCAGGGGCGTCAAGGAGCACGTCAAAGAGATGCGGCGACTCCACAGCCAAGTGCTATCGTCGCCAAGGCCTGACCAAAGTGGGTATCATTACGACGGGCAGGTGCTTGCCGGCCTCGTTGCCGGCGTGGTGCTGTGGGCACCAGCGCGACTTACCGCCGCCCCTCCCCGGCCGCCCCGCGCCCCCCGCGCCACGCCGAGGAGGCCCTGATAACGCTCGACGAGCTACCTAGGCCTCAACACGCCCTCGGCGTGACAAAAACTCGTTGCAACTTCTTCAACTTCATGAAATTGGTCTTTCTTTTGCTGGCTTAAAATGTTTTCCGCGACGCGCTGTCACTGCGGTGCTTTGTGTTGCAGGCATCAAGGAGGAACTGGAAAGGCGCGCCGCAGAAGTGAAATCGTCGGTCAAGAAGGTCACCCACATACTGAAAGGTACGCAAACGCCGTGCTGGAGGCTGGGGCGGGAGAGGGTGCGACGCCGCGTTGCTTGGCGCGGTTTGCAAGTCAGTATGCGGGATTAATGTTGGGGCGTTCTCCACTCGCTTGGCGTTCCAGCCCTGGAGCGCGGCCTGGAGCCTGACGATGGCTCCGCGGCACTGCGAATCCGGCGGACGCAGCACTCCACGTGCCTGCACCTGCTCGTCGAGGCCCTCACCGAGTTCAACGGCGAACAGGAGGACTACAAGAACAAGTGCGAGGAGCGCATCAAGAGGGTCATCAGCATCGGTAGGTGGCACGCCGTCAAACTTTAGAGGAACCGATGTTTCGAGGGGATTGTCGCTCTGAACTCGTGCCGGCGTGTTTTGCAGCCAAAGTGGAGGTCAGCGACGAGAAGCTGGAGAACCTCATGGAGACCGGCAACTTCGGATCCATCTTCAACGGCGACGTGAGTGCACGGCTTCGGCGCTTCAACGTCTGATCTGCTTTGTGTTTCCTTGGCCACCGAACGGTTTTCTTGTCCGCCAATCAGATCATCACGGAGACGCTGGAGGCGCGCCAGGCGCTCGAGGACGTGACGGCGCGGCACCAGGAGATCATCAAGCTCGAGAGGTCCATCCGCGACCTCAGGGACATGTTCGTGGAGATGTCGCTGCTGGTGGAGCGGCAGGGCGACATGATCAACAACATCGAGCGGCAGGTCATGGAGACCAGGGAGCACGTCGAGACGGCCAACGTCGTCGCCAAGAAGGCCATGAAGTACCAAAGCAAGTTCCGCCACGTGAGTACACCCTTGGTTCACATACCCTATTTTAAGATTTTGTTTCATTTTTGTGCCGATTAACCAACTGTGCCTTCTCCAGAAAAAAATCACCCTATACGTCGTCCTGGCCGTCCTGTTGGTGATCCTCGTGGTCATCATCATCGTGATGGTTGTGCCCAAGACCACGACGACGACGAATAGCGTGCAGTCCGCGGCCCGAACCACCACGGCCCCCGTGACCACCACCGTCGCCGACCCCACCACCTCCTTGCCGGCCAACCAGCTCGCCACCGAGGCCCCGTAGGGCGAGCCGTATAGCGAGCCGTCAGGCCCTTTGGCCCGTTGGCCTTTTGGCTCGCCTGTTGGGCCCAGGACCCCGCCAAACATGGGCCCAGTGTGACAAGTTACCATAGAGCACCGAGAGAGAAGCGCTGCCTTCATGTGCGCCTGCATCGCGGAGCGGGTAGGCAACCCAACCGACGCCGGTGCTGTGCGCGTCGCCCCGCGCGGAAGGCCGAGAATTTGAACAGAACGAGTTCAATGGACGTGTGACACGTGCCTGCCGGTGTGCTAAATGCACACTGGGCGATAAACTTTGTTATTTCGTGATATGCCTTAGTTATGTGATGCTAGAATTAATGTGAACAGTTTAGCTTTATTGGATGGAAAATGGTGTACATAATTTATTGCAATGTTTTGTTTTCTAAAAGTGGGCTCTAAAGGGTGTCCTCTTCAGAACTCCATTATGTATGTGTCTTGCTTAATCTGTTACTTCCCCTTGTAGCCTTAATGTGAGCCTTAGTCACTTTATTGACTTAAGTAAAACTATTTTGTTGCATTCATCGGATTGGCTTCCTGTCGTCAAGGAACTGATCTCACTTATACGTCTGACAATCTAGTCACTGTGCTCGTTGAGAGTAAAGCAGGAGTGTGTGCCGTCTAGATGTTTTTTTTTTTTTTGCCTTCCTTGCCCTTTGTCCCCACCGACCCACCTGACACTTGAAGGAACTCGATCTTAACTCATCACTATTCGCTTTTTAAAGTTCAACTTCTTATCAACATACAACCAAAAATCGAACAGAAAATCGTCCCTATCAAAAAGTATCAGCAGTCACAATGCAATTATTATCCATTAAAAACAATAAAATGAATCGCGAACTTTTGGTCTCATGACGCGGGAAACGATAGGAGAGATAAGAGAAAACACTGGGGGCCCAGACACGCAGGACGCAAAAGAAAAGAGAAACAAAAATCGATTGGCCTTATCGCGATTAGGGATTTGGGCCGGGGAAGGGAAACCGCGCCTGACTGGCCTGACTCTGCCACTAGGACTGCGGGCTCGGGGCGGACGCCTTCGGTTGGAAATCTCAGCAGCGGCGCGACGGCCCGACGCCTGCAAGTAGTCGGCTTCGGTTATAAACTACGGGCACATACACAGTACGTAACAGGCCAATCAGTACCAGTACACTGTCGTTTGTGAGCAGCCGCCCCCAGTCGCCCCTCCCCCTCTCTGCTTTTCTTGTCCATTCCCCCGCATTCCCCGCGCCTTCCCGCGCCTTCCCCCTCCCTGCCGGCCGCGTACCCCTCCTACCCCTCCCACCCCCTTCCGTCCCTTCCCTCCACCTCCACCTCCACCCGCCACTCTTACTCATCATTCTCAACTCGGCTGGCTCTGGCATTGACCCTGAAAAAAAGCTCCAGTGTTTCTTTCTGTGCCGCCGATCACCCAAGGTGCAGGCGATGCCGTTTAGCAAGCGGAACCGTTGAACGTAAGTGGTTACCAGTTGGCGTGGGAGACTGAAGTGCCGAAATCTAGGAGCAGAAACATAGAAGGTGCCACGGCTGTCGTTAATCCCGTGTGCCCCACGGTATCGGTCAGTACAGTACCAAAATGGGATGGTTACAGGGGTTCTTTAGGGAGTGTCACAGTAGTTTCAAGTCATGAGATTAACTGGCAACCCGCTGGGACCTTTTGCCAGTTGGAATTTTGAAAATTTGAGGTTATAAGGGCAGTTTAAGCCGGTGCGGCCATGACTGCTTAAAAATCGCTGGAATGTCCATTAATGCAAATTATCAAGATTATGGCAACAATAAAATACTTTCACAGTCATCGTTCAGTCACATATCTTTTTTTCTTTACATTTTCAAATTGTGTTGTTATTTTAAGTTTGCCTTAAATTTAAAAACCAACTAAGAAAAACTCAGTTATGTACATTTTCAATGCTAACTTTGTAGTACTGAGTGTGCTTATGGCCATTGAGTGTTTACTCTCTTGCTTAGCACTCATGTGTGAGCCACCCAGCAAGGCGGCGCCACTACTAATGCACCCTGGCAGCAATTTCAAATGTGTTGCCTCACCGTGACGGTCTTTTGTGTACTCTTTCTTTCACACCTTCACTTTCTTGTCTCACCTGTTTGCTGGAGTATAATCCTCTACATACTCTTATGTTTAATCCTACCCTTCAAAAATAAAAACAACAAAAACCAAGCAAAATATATTGAACTGCCCTTATAATTTTAGTCCTCTTGTTTCTGTTTTTTTTTTCCAGAATTTAATTCTTTTGGAATGGCTGGTTCAACTACAAACATGTCAGTTCGAAGCTTTAAACATGTCGCAGCACGAGTGTTTCACCGTGTTGTGGAACTCATTGCACGCGCTCTGTTCAGTATTGTTTATTTTGGATCCAAAGACAAAGTGTCACCTATAAACAATATGCTTCTTCTTGAATCTGCATCTTCTTTAGCATTTAAAATTCGTACTCAAAAGGTATTGTAATAACCATCTATTTCCTGGAACATTTTCTGTGCGAACCAGGTTTGTCTTACATTTACCTTTTGACAGGTCACAAGTGTTGAAGTTGTTCAATCCTTCATTGACCGCATCAATGAAACGAATCCCATCATCAATGGTGTTGTGGACACTCGGTTCTCTGCTGCACTGGAAGAGGCTAAAGCTGCAGATGAACTTATTGCTTCTGGATTGAAGTCTGAGACAGTTCTTGCTAAGGAAAAACCATTTTTGGGTGTACCTTTCACAACAAAGGAGTGTCTTCAATCAGAGGGTAATAAGGTTGGCCTCAGACAATTTTAACCAACTTTGTAATTCTTTAATTTAAATATATTTCTTTGTTCAAAATTGTCAGGTTTATGTCATTGTGCTGGTCTGTACAAGCGGCGTTGTTTGAAAGGAACAAAAGACGCAGATGCAGTTGCTCACATGAAGCGAGCTGGAGCTATTTTGCTGGCTGTGACAAATGTCTCTGAATTGGCTATGTGGTGGGAAAGCCATAATTATGTTCATGGCCGTTCTCGAAATTCTTACGACACCAGTCGAATTGTTGGAGGTTCTTCTGGCGGAGAGGTATGGGGGCTCAAAGTTGTGTTGAAAGTATTTGGCTTTATGGAAACCTGATAATTTTTACCTTACCTCATCCCATCAGGGCACTGTATTGTCAGCGGGAGCTTCTCCCATTGGTATTGGTTCTGATATTGGTGGCTCCATTCGAATGCCTGCTTTCTTCAATGGTATCTTTGGTCACAAACCTTCAAAATGTAAGATTCCATTTTTCAATCCTTTTTCAGTTCTGTTTTTGAGTGGATGAACTCATTTTGTGGCTTTATTTGTTTGTAGTCATAGTTTCCAATGAAGGACAGTTTCCATGTCCAAGTGATGAGGAACATTCTTCTTTCCTTGGCCTGGGACCTATGAGCCGATTCGCGTCTGATCTACTTCCAACACTGAGGGTTATTGCAGATAAAAATGCCTCAAAGCTTAAGCTGGATGAAAAGGTATAGTATTTTGTTTCTAAATTAAGCCCTTTCGTATCATTATTATCATTGATGCCCATGGAAACTGTACATTTTTGAACTAAATTTTTTCATTAGATTGATATGAAAAAAATCAAAGTATTTTACGCAGAAGATGATGGCGGTTCTTTCCTTATTAGTCCTGTTGATCCTGACATCAAGGCATCCCTCCGTAATGTTATAACATATCTAGAGAAAGCGCATGGTATTAAAGCACAGAAGGCAAGTATCGACTCTTCTTTCAGCAAGTGGCCTTGTCTCATCATTCAGATGCTAATGTCTGACTTACAAATTACAGGTTTCTCTTGACTTGCTTCGAATTTCTGGACCCATTTGGTTGGCTAGAATGAAGAGCAGAGGCATCTCCCGATTTGCTCAGGAACTCTCCAATAATGAAGTATGTAGTAAAACACAGTTTGACTGCATTATTTTTTAAAATTTAAAACACTAAGGTTTTTATGATGTTAATTCATTTTTGTTTTGCAGGGGAATTTTAAAGTAGGCTGGGAGTTGGTTAAATGGCTCCTCTGCATGTCACGCCATACTTTAATTGCTCTCTTCACAGTAATAATGGAAGGACTGGGTGAGCCTTATGGTAGCCCCAAACATCAACATCTTGTGGAGAAAAGTAACCAATTGGAAATGCAGATCAATGTAAGAATACCTCTTCATTTAAAAATTACCTGTTTTCTTGTAACAAAATTTTATGTATTCCTTTGTATAACTTTGCAGGATTTGCTCGGCAATGATGGTGTATTTTTATACCCAACCCATCCAACACCTGCTCCATACCACAACGAACCTCTTATCAAGCCCTTTAATTTTTCCTATTCAGCAATCTTCAACATCATGGGTTTTCCAGCAACTGCAATTCCTCTTGGGCTTGGATCTGAAGGTTTACCTATCGGAATACAAGCTGTAGGGACCTATGGCAATGATCATCTAACCATTGCTATGGCTGTTGAGTTGGAAAAGGCATTTGGTGGATGGGTAGCTCCCTCTGTCAGTGTCTGATTGTACACTATTTTGAATTACCAGAATGAAAGCTTGGTATTGTTGAAATTGTTAGAATCAATTCTTCAGTTCAATGTTAAAGTGAAGTGCCTGTTAAAATGAATTCAGCACCAAATCGAAATTTGCTGACGTCTCCTGTTACCCACTGTGGATTGTTTACCTGAGTTTGTTTGTTTTTGTTGTAATTAAGAGGTTTTTTCATATCCAATGAATTTTTAAATGTATTTTCTTCAAAACCTTTTAATTTAATTTTTTTTTGGGGGGGGGGGGAGCAGTTATTTTTATTTTGTCACTGTTTTGGTTGTGATACATTTAGCTTCTTGTGTGTTTCATTCCGTTACTAGTATTGGCTTGAATTTGGGGGTATATAAGTGTTACATTGTTGACACTGACGTAAGGAACCTGTTGTGTTCTCCAGCTCTGAAAAAAAAAAAAAACAAGTTTCTCAGTCTGAGATTTTTATTGTAAGACCTTTGTCAGGCATTGTTTTCAACGACTTCATATTCTTCCTGGTTGCCAAAAGTGAGCCACTCAATTGTGATGAAGAAGCACAGAGTTTGCATTTATAAAACTATTTTGGTATCATATAGGACTGTTTATTGTTCAGAGTTGTTTGTTAAATGAGAATGAGCTGATGATGGTGTTAAGTGTTTGTTGTATGAAAATCTAAATTATTATTAAGATTTGCTTTTTAATTTGTTTGCCACATAGAACATACAAAAATGCTTTTCATTACGCTTATCATTATATAGGACAGAGTTCCCAAGCTCTGCCCTGTATTCTCCTTGATCTGCTGCCAAAACTTGGTTTTTATTCTATGCCTGCTTTTCCTTTCTTGCTCAAAGTGCTGTGATGTGTTAAAGAATCCTCTTGCCCATTTATAACTTGCCTTTTGTATATTTGTCTTAAGTATACTGTAGTTTGTGGTTTCACATGTTGACTTTCATTCTTCAAATCCTTCTTTAATCAAAGTCTGGGGCACTTCTATTGTTAGCAGTATTCTAAAGACCAAATGTTTGCAGTATTATATTCATCATTCTGTTGTACAACTAATCTATGAATTATGCTTTATATTTTTGCTATGTTTTTTTAATTTTCCTCAAACTAAGAAAAGCAGTTAGGGTATTTGCAATTCTTCAGTACTTCCTTGTCAGTTGTCTCTTCTTCCTGCTCCTTTGCATCATTCAACAAAGTTGATGTGTTAGTAAGCCTTTTGTGGCAAACTACTACAAATGTGTTGCAAGATCGCATTCTATTCCTCCTCTTCAGGAACATTCGTTAATGTTTCCAAGTGATGAGCACTTGTTTGTGATTTTAAGAAATGAATCCTTTCAATGAAACAAATCTTGTTTTCTATTTGTTTAAAATATTTCTTTTTATATAGTAGTGGTTTGTATCCATCTAGTCTAGAGAAATTTTTAAGCTGATAGGTGTGCTGATCTGTTCTGTTGAAAAAATGTGTTGTCATTAAAATTCACCTGTATTTAGGTTGTGATCCTTGTGCACATAATTGAGTTTTCTTTGAAGTTTGGGTTGGTCATGAACTTAACTAGCCAGAATTTCTGCAGCGCATAAAGGGTGTTTAACCTTCACAACTTTTTGTGAACAAACGCTGCAAGACTCAGTACTTCAGATGTTTTTAAAATCTTGCATGGAAATAATCATTGATATCTAAAGTTTGTTTCTTAATGTATGTTATTTTTTATTAATCCAAGATGAAAAGTTATATAAATATATATTTTTTAAATGTGTTTTCAGACAACGTTAATGCTGTTTGTGATTCATATTCATTCGTCGTCTATAGGTTTATTAATAAATTTTGAATTGACGTTTACAATAATACCCTGGTCACTTTATTGAAACACTCACTTCTGTACCTCGCCTTTCTATCCTGCTCTGGTCACTTTACTGCCATCTTCTGAATGACGATGATAGTAAATTCTTAACGAGACTGTCGAAAACCGTCAATGGGACCAATATGGGTTGCCTGTCTCACTCCTGTACCACATCGATGAAGTGCCAACACTGCAAGGTTTCTTCCTACACTGCTGACCGTCTCCTTTAGGACAAAAACTGGAAGGTGTTTGTACAGCACCTCCCTTCAAGCATCAAAAATACTCACAAATGGGTTAAGCAATTTATTAATTTCTAAAAAACACAAACACTGCAAGTTGTTTAGTTAAAAATAATAATTCACTTGGGTCCCCTGTTAAATGAGAGAAATAAGATAGGATTGCAGCATCAAATGTCGACTAGACTGAACCTTAACACAGGACAGACTTCCACTATAAAAATAAAGACTGATGATGTTTCACCCAATATTTCAGAAAGCAAAATAAGAAGAAAAGGCCAAGGGATGGAATTTTTTAATAAGTGTTTGTGGAGAAAAGGCTCACAGCATCAGTCCAAGAAAAAGATGCCACACCAAAGGCACTAAGGAGGACGGAATAGTAAAGGTGTGAATGGAGTCTTGCTTTTAAAAAGTACGTCAAGAGCAAAAATCACATCTAAAACATTATCACTTTACGTCCTGGAACATAAATTATGTAACAGGAACAAAAACAGCAAATTTCATTAAAGAGCACTTAATGTACTGAGAGACACATGACAAAAGCATCATGTGTCCATCTAATATTCCCTTTTTTGGTAAGTCAAATTAGGTCAATGTACAGGCCCTTACCCTAAATCAGAAATTTCTTGATGATTGAAGACAATCATTAGGATCTGTGCTTCAAACGAAAAATCTGAAATATATTGGGGAAAGGAATCACAGGTTAGCATTACCTCATTAGAAATTCAATACATCTGCCTCAATGCATGAGCAATTATCAATTACGGCCCTCACAATGGACAACTACGAACAAGTAACAAAGATTATATGCAAAGTCTGTTGAGTTTCATTGTATAAAAACAAGTAAACGATGATAAAGGAAACAATGTAACATAATACTGTGTTAGATCATGCACTAACCATATAAAATCTAATTTGAGAAATACATAAGTTTTAAGTTAAAAGAAGAGGAAAGAGAGAAATTGATAACAATGGCTATCAAACAGCTCAACTATTACACGGAACAAAGAAACATGTAGTGATTTTTGTTCACTACAATATCATTTTCCTTACAATTTGATCGGACACTCAGTTAAGTACTGCCATATGCTTTCGGACTAGAGAAAAATTCTTACAATTTTAATTTTGTCACCAGAACCAGGAACCTGACAGAATAAGATGACTAATTTGTTATGACAAAGAGTAAACTAACAAAACAGAAAGAATTCTAAAAAATAAGACCAGATTAAACATCACTTGATTCAGTTTGTTAAGTACAATGATAAAAAATATTAAAGCCTGAAGTTAATACTTCAACAACAACAAAATTGGGATTAGATAAATTAAATTAAAATTACAAAGGATTTAGACTTAAACAACACTTCATATCGATTAACAACGTAATGTTTACTTCACAAGTCAGTGCTGCACACAGTCATAACAGCCTGCAACCTAGCAGCATTTGAAAAAGACTACGTACTGCAAAAGCAGGAAAATAAAGAGGGGAAGAAATGCAAAACAAGCACAGGAGGAAAAGTGTCTCTCCAGTGACACACCAAAGAGAAACAAAAGAAAAAAGAGCATGCCTCAAAACACGGCATGTAGAAGGGAACTGCCTACTGATCAGTCTTTCTAACAAGAGAGTATACAGTCTGAGATTTGATTGGAATCCTTGAAAATACTGTGCGTGCTACATTGAAGGAATTCACAGATCATATGATATACAACCAGTACAAACCAGCTTTTTTAAGTATTGCACTGGCCTTTTCATTTGGTCCCTGCATGAAAACTTGTTTCAATTGAAAAACACAACTACTGGTAAGTCATTAATGACTGATGTATTAACAACAGTTAAGAAAAGAGGGGAGAAAAACAAAACAAAAACCTTAAAATCTAACATGGGTGAGTAAGACACAGAATAATTAGATTCATCATTAATGTTGGTACATGTTAAACTTATTATTTAGTAAATCAAAATTGAAATGTTTGAGTAGAAAATATTTTAACAAAAACTCCAATAACTCTTAACATTATCATATAAAAAAGTTTCTTCAGAGCATGGTTAGAAATATAACACACTGCTCAAGAACAACTGGAAGTATGGGTACCAGTAAATCTCAAGGAGGGAATGGGTTGATTGGACTTGTCACTAATACTGCATTAAATACTAATTTTAAAAAGTAAGGTCCAATTGGTAAAGACAAAAGTTATCAAATAAAGACAATTATCACTGTGTCATCAAACAAAAGTAAATGAATATGGGCAAGAAAGATGACAGCAAGAGTTCATCAAAGCTGTCGCAATGTGAAGCTGGAATGACATACTATGACAATTGCAATAATTCTAGGCAAAATCTGGCCCACAAGTTTCAATTAAATTTAGTACAATAATAAATGCAAAGGCTTTTAGACAATCAAAGGATCCTCCATGATTCCACACAAATTTTATGAATTGTTAGCTAAAATTAGTACTTCTAGTTTATTTGTGACCTTGGAATCTACATCTAAACCATCAATCTTGTAAGATCTTAGTCAAAATTTTATAATCAAAACCTTGGTAGTTTTACAGACTTTTCAACAGTAATTTAAATTATACTGATTAAAAAAATACTGCATAAAAGTGTGATAAAACATGTTTTTAAAATGACAATACTTTTCAAAAACCATTGATTCACAAATACAAAGGGATCAACAAATCTCGAGGCGAGCTGCTCCACACTCATGACAAAATTTTGCAAGAGATACAAGAAATTTGGTGCCACATTGGTGGCAAAACTTGGATAGTTTTGGAAGGAGTGGAGTGGTTGCACTTACAATATCAGATGAGGGAGTGTCGCAGTCCTTACTCCTAACTCCTCGCTTTGAGAGATGGTTAGACAGTGGTGGGAGCGAGGATTCCGAACCACTAGAGCTCAGAACAAGAGACTGCGTCAGTGACTGAGAGAGCATAGATTGGGGGCTCTCAGCACCATGTCGAACATCCTGCATTCCTACTGGGAATTGTCGTCTGGCCTGAGGCACAGGTGACCTGCGGTTCAAACTATAACATAAAATAATTGAAATAGAAATGGTTCAAAGATCTAAAAATTAGGTGAGGTAAAAAGATATAAAACATCAACTGACCTGCTGTAGGCACTATCTGCACTCAATCGGCTGCTATTTGACTGTCGACTTTGGTTTGTGGCCTGCATTGGACTCATAGGAGTAGAGGAGGCATCGATTTCAATTCCTTCATTACAACCATTTCTGGTGGAGCTGTGGGTAGAAAGGGACATGGGTTTGGGACGGGGTAGGCCATCGTTATGATCAGAACTATTGGGAGCTTTAGAGGTAAGTGATACAGGAGAAGTAGGGTACTGAGACATGAATGCGTCCATCTTTGACATGAATTCTTCAGGGTACGAAACAGTTAAAGCATTAGCCGACACTACGACATCACCATCTTCATTACTATCAGAATTTGCATTAAAGTCAATGCCAGGAGGAAAAAGCATTTCTTCTATTAATCTGCGGCCTTTAGCAGAGGACTTCCTAGATTTGGTTGATCCAAACACAGAATTTGACCGTGCTGAAGAGTCCATCGAAGTTCTAAAATTGTTGTTTTCCCTTTCAAGAAGCTCTGCAGGGAACAGAAAGTCTTCTATGTGCATCTTTCCCGCTCGATTTCGCCGACTTCGCGCTGATGACGGATTTGTTGATAAACTGGGAGAATCCCTAACATTAACAGGATCTGCATCAGAAAGCATGGAAACAGAATGTTGCATCCTGACAACCTCTTCCAGTAAATTATCTATTTCAGATGTATCTGATTCTTTCTCTGTAATTTCCCTTATTTCACGGCTCTCCCTTGTTTCATGCCTAGCTTTCCTGTCATCTTTATTATCAAGATTCAAAATTTCTACTTTTACCCCATGAGAAGATTCAGCAGCAGGAGGAAAATCATTTCCTACAGATTCAAGTTGCTCACAGGCATTCAACCAGCCACTAGTTTCAAGACTGTCTTTTGCAGACTTTTTATCAATATCATACGTTTTAGGTCGCTCATTTAAATCATGACTTTTGGTGCTGTTAAAATCCTCTGCAGCAAAATCTAACAAAGGGCCTGACTGTAACTGAGGGCGTGTGGTGCCAATTCCGGAAACAATTAGGTCATCATAGTTATTGGATTGTGGTAAGGAACTTGACCTTTTGTTCAATCTAGGAGGAGGTTGCGGAGCAGGATGAGGCACCTGGCCAGCCTGGCCCAAGCCTTTGGGACTCTTCACATTAGGTTGCGCTACCTGTTGTAGCCGCGGTGACTCAAACGGTTTTGCTTTCTCAGTCATTTCACTGGCTGATTTAGCTTCCTTTTTGGAAAGCACAACTTTGCTTCCATCACAAGACTTTTCTACAGTTTCCGTCTCTGGTGCATTGACAGAGCTGTTCACTGGACTTTGGTTTTCAGCCTCTAATTCTTTAGCATAACGAGTGAAGGCAGATGTTGGAGAGGTTTCCAGGGAAGATGGTTTAGGAGAGAGAGTGGGGGATGGCATAGGAGAGAGAGATGGGGCAGGGGAAGGCGATTTCAGCTTCTGGTTAATGTTACAAGCACTGTCACTGCGTAACAGCTCCATCATCTGGCGTTCAGCTGAGGCATAGGGGTCATAGGGCTCCTCTTGTTGGCTTCCACTGTAACAAAGAGACAGAGGACCATGAAGCATGAGAACTAAAACACAAATTTCTCTCCGGCTAATAAATAAACCAAGAGACATTACAGGGTAAGCAGATACAATTTTGTGTTTGTAAAGCGACAAGTGTATGGACTAGCACAATGCAAAATGCGAAATAGCGGCGCTCCTTGCCAATCATGTGAACAATGATACAACTGTAAGCCCTAAAGGCTCTAAATAGACATCAAATACCCCACTCTAAGAAAGAAATAACCAAGTGCGATAAAGAAAGATGAAACAAGTAGAATAACTTGCTTATAACCATGAGCCTTGTGAGCCAAAGGTAAGCAGCAACACAAGCTACGTGAACACAAATGAGAGATTTCAAACAATACAATAAATACTTATTATTCCTAACACATAAAATACGAAAATGTAAGTGAGGTAGTTTTGTGGTTGCAACCTCTACTTATACACAATTTTAACATACTCACATCCTTTTACCACCTACACTCAATTTGAGGCTGTACATATTGGGAAGAATGTGTCCACCTAATAGAGTCCTACAATACATAGAAAAAAAAAAAAGAGGTACGGTAATCACGAGCATAACTACAGCAAGATGCGTAGTACCACTATTATCTACTGGACATTATTTGCTACAAACTTGCATGAGATCACAATTTAGCTTTGACAAGAGTACCTTATGCCTGAATTGAAGGAATTGGGTAGGGGGTGGAGCTTGATTTGTAATGGATTTTTACTGAAGGGCATTGAGGAATGTTTTTGGTTTGAATAGATGGAAGGATAGTACCCTTTGTAGCCATGGCAGTTGGAGAAAATTGAGGAATTTGTTGAATTCTGAAATTTTGGTACATATAATTTAGGGAGGTGGACCAACTTGTCTTTTGAAGACTTACTAGAGTCTGGCTTGTTGCAGATATCCCCTTTCCCTCTATTTTCATTGTAAATTCCATGTCCTTGATTCATGTAGTTTTCATTTTGTTTGGTAAATGTTTCTTCTTTGAATTGGAAACCACAATTATCCCTCACATTTGACTTAAAAATTTGTCTGGACACAAAAGCAGGAAAACAGTGCTTCAAGTCTGTCAATTTTTCTGGAGAGGGACTCTTTAGCACTTGGTTGCGTGAGTCTTCCTGTACCACCTTTGTGTCTCCCACTAGTGACTCCACTTCTAGCACTCCCTGCACTTCATCATCAGGTTTCTTCTCAGAGCTACCAGAGTCCTCAGACACAGAGGAGCAGAAGTTGGTCTCAGGTTCCTGATCTGAGTTTGAATGGATATTGTATACTATGTAATCACTTGTTTTGTTACCATTCTTTGCAATGTCAGACCAAGTTGTACAAAGATCAATGCTTCTGAATCCTGTACTGGCTTGGCTCAGAACAATGCTTGACTCACTTTCATGGCTCGATTTGAAAGGCCGATTTTCTTCTTTAACAAAAGAATGTGGGACACATTGAGCACTCATGGAACATGTTGGTGATGTCAAAGCATGATTGACAAAGTTCAAATTATCATTATTCTCATGGGAATAATTAATGTTGGCACGCTTTCTAGGAATAAACATTTCTCTGTCCTTCCTTTTAGAAAATTTCCAAGTAGGCTTTTGGCTTTTAATTCTTTTGGTGCTTTTTGTTTTCAAATTACTACAGCTTTGACCTGTGAGTGAGTAGAGCTCAGGCATAGCACAGGAACTTATCAAATTCACAGAAAGACTTCCATTGTCCAGCAGTTGTTTCTCAGACATACTCCTATTAGACTTCTCAGTTGCTTCAGAGTATGTTCTCTGCAATCCATTGTACTGTGGGTCTTGTAGTGAATCCATTTTGCAACAAACCGATGACTGAGTGATGTAAGTGCGATTTGAGTCTGCACTATGAGTACTGGATGCATGCGTTTCAGTGGAGGAGCTCAAACTAAAGCTCCCAGTACTACCCGAGTCACTCATGACCCCGTATGATCCCATATCGCTCACCAGAGTGCCATCTATGTCAACAGGCTCAGAAAATAACATGCTGTTGTTCCTAACTGCCACTTTAGAACAGCTGGACGATTTTAGGTATCTAGTCCCACCGTACTGAGCATACCTAGTGCCACATTGTGTTACTACCATCTCAGCCACTAGACCGTTGACTTCAATAGAATTTGTTTTGGAATGAAACAGACTCTTTCTGGGGTCCCCTTTCTCCCTTGGCATATTTCTTGGTGAAAGATTGGAAGAGGCAGGGGAATGGGGGTTTGAGGGAGGGATATAGAGGGGTGTGTGCTTGGCTTGACAGCCTTGCCTGTGGGAGGAAAATGGAAATGAGGTGCACAGATAGCAGAAAAACTGCATTGTGGCTAGACAGAGTAAATTGTAAATAGAAACTTAAAGACTTTGCTTTCCACAAAAAAAAAAAAAAAAAAAAAGAAACATGTAAACCACAGGACCCAAAATAATGTAGAATGAATTACAAGTCAAGACAAGTCAAGTCAAGTCAAAGGTAAATCTACAACTCATCTCTTTCCACCCACTAGCAAAGGGCTATGTGCACAATAATCCCCTCACTAAATACCCAATTTTGATCCAAATACTGTAATGCACCAAATATCTACCCTAACAAATGAGTCTACCATCTCTTAGACCTTAAGGAACAGTATAAATGATAAGATTTTAAACTTACCGCCAGAGATGCTCATTTTTAGTCTTGCTGTGGTGGACATTTTCTTTGGCCTCTTTGGGTTGTACTTCGATTTGAAGAGTTTGCAAATTAAGTGCAGGAGGAGAAGGCTGATTGTGCTTTTTCAGTGGTTTAGCAATTGGTGTCTCCGATACTCGAGCATCGTGCTGTTTGGTCAATTGGTTTCTTGATTGTAACTTTTTCAAACTGGTTGAAGTTACTGTCATGTCCTCTCTGTTAGTGCTTCCAACCCTAGACTCATCGGGGGATGGCCTCTGGGAAGGTGAAGCAGGCAATTTAGTCCTAGGAAAAAAAATTGAAAAGGTGTCATAGGAATAAATGATCAAATCAAGTAAATTGTTTCATGAGTTTTAAGAAACTGACTTACCCTCCAGGTAGACGCTTAGTAGGTGAAGTAGGTCTATTTGAAGATCTTTGAGATGTTCGTAAACTTGATCTACCAGCGTTGCCACGATTAAATCCAAGTGTGCTTGCAGTGCTTGCTGTATCTTTAACTTGAGACCGTCCAGAGAGAGAATCTAGCAGAGAAGGTTCATTATAATACCAAACACATATTTTCATCAAAAGAACATTTTTAAGACTTCCAGCCAATAGCAAAATGTCTAATTTAAAATAAAAACCACTAAAATAGAAAAGAATTACAAAAAATAGAACAAAGATAAAGCCAGTCTCACTAGTCACTAGGTGTTATTTCAACTTACTTCCACTTCTACTCAAGCGATTAGATTGCTCCTGTTGAGATTGAGGAGAATGCCTGGTGCTACCAGCACTGGAAGTTGCACTTCCTGCAGTGCTGTAGCTGTAATTCGAGGCGTTGCTAGGGCTAGGATTTCGTGCTTTGCGCTGCACCAGTGGTGAATACTTCTCTCTAGTTATAGCTCTTTTGGACTTGATAGGGGGAGCTCGGTACTGAGATATAGGAATGAACAGTGATGTAGCACAGTGTCTCGGGAATGAAAATAGTAACGACATAGGAATACAGTACCTTGATACGGGCTTCCAAACGTTCCTTGGCTTGTGAGCTTGCAATGATTGGAGGGTGTCTTGAATGCTGCTCTCTACACCATTCTTGATGACGGTCAAATGCCTTCTTACCAAAGTGTCTCTCGCAGTAAGGGCATTGCTCATGATCTGGCGGGCGAAGTACAGAGCGAGAATCACCACTACCCCCTGCAGCGTCGGGGCCTTCACCTGAAAAATGTAAAATTATGTGTAATGTTTAAGAAATGTATAATTGTGATCAGTTGATAAATGACGGAGAGATATTAAATCGACTCACCTCGAGCAGCTCTGATTGCATTTACAAAGGCTTCATGATTTTCTTTCCAATGGCTGGAGGCTTTTAGGGGACTTGTGGTCTTTTCACTGACTGATGGCCTCTTTTGAAGAGTGGAATATGGCAAGAATTCTGCCAGATCAGTGCCTTGTACCCTTTGCTTAAATGAATCAAATGTTTTGCGTCTCTTGTGAGTATTCTTCTCGCACACTTTGGAATGCCTCTGCAGTACTTCTGGTTTAAAAGTCTTGTTGCAAACAATACATGGCAGCAGTAATGTTGGTCCATCTTCTGAAAAAGAGATCAGTTGAGGATACATAACATCGTTGCAACTTAAAAACATGACGCATTCACAAGAAAATAAAGGTAAGTGAATAAAGCATGTGCACCTCCCCCACACTCAGCCTACTCAGGTGCAATGACAGTTCCCTCACTCTGTCTAAAAAAATTGTGGATCGCTCTTAATTGATTCCAGTCATGAAGTTGATATTATTGGAATTACTCTAAACAAGGTGAAACCTCCGGCATTATCAGAGGCCTGATAAATCCAGCAGTTTTTAAGCTAAACAACCATAAATTAGGATTATAGAACGCGGCCCCCCCGTCAAGGCTGTACGTGTGTAGGCAAGGAAGAAACAGCCTGAGCACCACCTGATTAACTTTCAACCAAATATTAAGCTAAGAGGATTTGTCAAACGGAAAAAAATATTGGTGTGCCTTCTTCCATAATTCAATTTCAAAATGAACACATTCCTGGCTTACCTTCCACGATAATATCATCTAAATTCGGATATTTTCCTGGTTTACTTTCAGCCTCCAGTTCATCCATTTTTATTGCTTTCGACACGACGTCTGCAAGGAGCGCTGATTGGTTAACAACAATATAACCATGGCAACAGGACACTGAAGACAGCACACTATTTTGTCACAAAACATATGAAACAGAAATGAATTCCATATAGTTGTGACAAGTATTTCGTTCAATTGGTAAAAGCCTCTTCAAAAAGAGTAAGGAGTAAGTTCACTGGTGAAAGTTAGACACTGGCGTATGTTGGTAGCTCCGAAGTTGCCTTCTTTTTCTGTTGGTAGTGGTGAAATGGAGGAATGTTTGTTGACGACGAAAAAGCACTGACACTCATGGGCGTTTTCCTATGTTCTCGTTCTCTTTGAAGATTTATTTATCTTTAATCGCTGTTATAGCTCGACTAGCTTAACTATTAACTCTCTGAATTGATTTTTATTCGTGACATTTGTCACCTGACGATTCTAGCCATGAGGGTGAATACTCAGACACTTTTATTGGTTACTGTTGTAGCCTTTGCATCTCTAATTCACACTGGTAAGAGAAAAAGAAAGGATTTTGACCGACCTTAAGAAATAAGAAATAAATTTAATACGGTAGACATTTCATGTCATCCTCAATTTAAATCTGATGTTGTGATGTGCATTTTGTTTTCCTTCGCTCATTGCAATCTTGTATGCACTGTTGACAAATATTTCTCTGTTTCCAGTTAATAGCATACGCTGTTATCAGTGCTCCTCTGGTCAAGATCTGAAAGGAGAGGACAACTGTGGAGCTTACAATAAATTTGATAAAAACAAACACATTGCTATTGATTGTAACAGTGATGAGTCAAGCACACCAGGATCTTTCTGTATGAAGGTTACCCAACAGAGTCCGAAAGGATTCATTTGTAAGTAATCGTAAATGGTTTGTCCATGAATGTTTCATCTATCGCATACTTCTCTTATTTGTTATGAATTTACTTGTTTCAGGGGACGGTCGTTGGCGTCAAGTTATTCGCCGATGTGCATCTGTGTCAGAGACGGGTGTAACAGGTGTCTGCAACTGGGGAGTGTATGAAAATGGTGTCTATTGGGAAGAATGCTACTGTTCTGAAGACAGCTGCAATGGTTCAATTCGTAGTAAAAGTGTTTCAAACCCACTTCTATTCGGAGCAGTAATTGCTTTGATTTCTTTGCCTTTTTGGCGTTTTGTATCTTAAATTTGCAGAACAAACTATGACTCCGTGTTAGATATTTGTTTGCACAGTGTAATATGCTACAGTATTTTTTAAATTTAAAATATTGCTAATAGTTTATCTGATAGAATGTTACCTGATTCATAAGAATTAAATCAAGGCACAATCCATATCAATCCCTTATGTTTCTTTTTTATGTGTGTTCGATTTTTTTTACTCATATTCTCATTCTAGAAGTAAGTTTGACAAAAGTTAAGATGCATCTATGTGCTTCCATATTATTATTTTTATTTTAATCTATTGTCCTGTTTTTTATGCATTCTGCTGTTGTCATGTAATTTTCTTATGAGTCTTTTCAATTTTTAGTCTACATTTAAGTGCCTCATTTTCTCATTTGCGGTCGTGTGTGCATTCCATAATTATTGAACAATTTTTCATTGAAATGTGATAACGTATGTGAGAAAGTTTGAATGTGAACAATCACTGATATCATAACTGAATCTCATTGTAATGAACTGATCCGTCCAGGAGACCAAGAATGTGTTTTATACTGTAGTTTACGTGTCACATCAAGTTAACAGTTTGATAAATCTTATCTTATCTTAGGAATTTTTAAGAAGACAAAACTTGTCTGATTGAAGGGAGATGTGTTCAAAAGGTGTTCCGTCCAATTAAAACAATTGATGATTAATAATTGAAAATAATTTGCCTTTTAAACCGAATCCCCCGCACTCACAAGGTATCGTGTCTTGCCGTGCAAGTGATAGGGTACTAGTTCAGTTCCACCACCCACTAGCCCTGCAGCTCCCCTCCCCCCCTCTCCCCCGGCCCCAGCCGGCCCGTCCCCTTGGCTCCCTTGGTTGGCATTGTGCTGGCATGGCCACGGCCAACACAATGGAATTCAATTACTGCTACTGGGATTTATTTCGTCGCCTTTTCTTGGGATGCGTCGCGAGGTGCGGCGTGCGTGGCGTGGCGCTGCGTGGCCACGCAGCTGGTCCAGCGGGGTGAGGAGGAGGGCGGCATTTTCTCAACTAAAATCCAACCTCGCAATAAACAATAATTTTGAAACAACTGCAACGAAAAAGAAGATAGAATTAATTAAAAGAAAATAGCGAAACAAAGCGAAAACGTACAGTTAGAACAACCCACTTCACTCCACCGATTGCCATTGCTGGCGTGACACCCCAGAGCCCCCGTCAATCTTCTTCACTCTGCTGATTGAACGACGTTTTAAAGCCCCACCCCTTGAACCACCCCCACCGCCGCTTGTCTGTGTCTCCGGCGACTCAGCGCCGCGCCAGGGACTGGGAGGGAGGTCCCCGTCGACGGGTCGCCGCGATTGCTCCACCTGGAGGAACTGATGCACGCCGATACGAAGCACAGACAGCCGGTACGGGGTGCGTACTATTAATTAGTTGCCTCACTGCGCTGTGGCACTGCCAGTAGACTGATTCCGAGGTGCGAGATATTCTCCTCCTCCCGTGAGTTTAGTAGGCCTCTCTGCCTGTTTCTTATGGGCAGCCCTACTCCTCTCTCGGCGGTTCCACTATAGACAGCGACGAAAACGACTCTCGGAATCAGTCTCCAGGGAGAGCCGAGCCGAGGTCTTTCCCCGCCAGTCTCTCGTCTCGTCTCCCCTCCCCTCCCCCCTCCCCCCGGGCCGACGCGGCCGACGCGCAACGGACGGACGGGAGACAGACGGACGCGTGGCCGAGCCGGCCGCGCCGAGCGAGCGTCGTCCGCCGCCGTCTCCGCCGCTCAGTTGTTTGCTGGAGACAGTCAGGGAGTGTCGGCAGTGCGGTTCTTTGTTGTGTTTGTTGTGATTTCCTGGGCTTTCTCACTCGGACACTCACGTCGACTAGCAAAGGAAGGCTAATGCCTGATGAGTTCTAACATCGTGGAGTGAAACGCGCTGATGAAACTCAAGGTCATGGAGGTATGTAACCAAGTTGAGGTGTTGGTTTGTTGGTTGGTTAGTTTGTGTGTGTGTGAGGAGCGATAGACAGACTTGAATCATTGAACTGTCTTTGCTGCTCGTGTTGTACCGAATGCGTCAAGCACAGCTCGTCACCGGCGACGCAGCACTGCAGGGTAGCAACCTAGCAACCGGATTGGCTGCTCGGCGTGGCTCGGCCTGAATGGGCGTTTTGTGGGGGTGCCGTGCCCTCACAGTAGCTATATCCAATTAAGACTTACAGCGCGAGAGCGCGAGAGCGGTCGCCTGAGCGAGGAATCGGAGGAGTGGGGGAAGAGTTTGGAGGGGAACTCTTCCCCCACTCCTCCGATTCCTCGCTCAGGCGACCGCTCTCGCGCTCTCGCGCTCACGCTCTCGCAGGCGTAAGTCTTAATTGGATATAGCTAGTGGGCTGGCCGAGTCACGCGCACTTACTGACTGGCCGCGGCCGCGGCGCAATGGGTCACAGCACCTCCGGTCGCGACGCGCAGCGACGTGCGCCGAAATTTTGAACGGGGTTCAAGCCATCATAGTACCTTTACGAGGAATGTCTCGCAGTGTGCCTTTCTTCAAGGCGACTGTCTAGTGCCCATGACCCCCCCCCCCAAAAAAAAAACCACCCCTTGCGCACGCCACTGTAGACGTGGCGCAAACGGGGTGCGGCCTCCTCCCGGCACAAATAATTCATGATGACGACGCGGGCTTTCCCTCGCGTCCGTCCGTCCATCCATCCATCGGCCGGGCCGGGCCTTTCGGCGGCAGCGCGGCGACGCGGCGTGTCATAACCACACCGAGGATAACCAATATCGCCGAAGAAGCTGCAAAAACGAGAAGAAGGGCGGCGGTAAAGTCGCTTTATAAACCGATAAAGCGAGAGGACTCCCTAAGAGGCCGAGGACTCCCATGGCGCGGCGTGGCGCGGCGTGGCATCGGGAGGAGATCCATAAACCCCGTAAAGCCCCCCCGGCGAAGCGACGAGCGTAAACCGGGGCTGACCGGCATGATGACAACGGCCACGGCCATGCTGGGGCTGCAGGGGCCTGGGCAGGGCCTGGGGCCCCTCTCTCTTTCCCTCTCTCGTCCTCTCCCCCTCCCCTCCCTCCCTCTGGCCTGCCAGTGGCTCGACTGGGCTCGGCGGTCGGCGGGATAGACTAGGCCTCGCTGACACTGGCTGGCACTCGATACTGCTTCTGCCCCGTCTCGTCTCGCGGCGTCGGATTGATTCTCGGAGCAATATATGCCCGGCATGCCCGGCCCAGGCCAGGGCCTCTAGGCCAGGGCAGGGCCTCTAGGGCCAGGGCCTCTAGGGCCAGGGCCTCTAGGGCCAGGGCCTCTAGGGCCAGGGCCTCTAGGGCCAGGGCCTCTAGGGCCAGGGCCTCTAGGGCCAGGGCCTCTAGGGCCAGGGCCTCTAGGGCCAGGGCCTCTAGGGCCAGGGCCTCTAGGGCCAGGGCCTCTAGGGCCAGGGCCTCTAGGGCAGCTCGTTTCACCTGCGACGACGCAGCGCGAGCGAGCTGTCTCCGTCTTCGTCGCCGGAAGCGCCAGTGGACGAGAAGACCGATGGAGGCGGCCAAACTCTAGACGCGTTTTGAGTTCAAGAGCCGCTTAATGGGACTCGAACCTAACGTGTGACCCCACCGATTGATTCCTCGTTCGGAGAGCAATCCATTGGTGGGGTCACTTGCTCGGTTCGAGTTCTGTTAAGCGACTCTGGGGCTCAAATCACGTCTAGAGTTTTGGCCACCGGTGCCGGTCTTCTGGCCCACTGTACTGCCGCGCCGCCCTCTTGTCTTGTCTGAGGCATGGAAATAGAGCGCAGCGCGCTGGCGTTGGAGTGGAAGGCGAAGCAGCCGCCGGCCTGCAGACTGATTCTGAGAGTTGCTTTCCTCGCTCGGTCTCTCTCGCGCCTGTACGGGACGCCCCGAGTGCGAAAGAGACATGGCGACGAAGGCGACTTTCGGAGGGGCCTGCCGGCTGCCTGCCGGCTGCTGCGGTGGTGCGGGGCAGCCAGGGGCAGCCCGATGGAGATATTAAGGCTCAGCGCGGCCCGCGGCGCTGGCCTGGCTGGCCTGGCTGGGCTGGCGCATCGCGAGAGTGGGAGATCGCGAGGAAGCGAGCGAGCAAGAACGGACGCCGGCGCCGAGAGCCTCGCCTCGTTTCCATGCCGCGCTTCTCGGACGTGCTGGCGGCCGAGCTGGCGGCGGGGCGTCCCACCCGCTCCTGCGGTACACGCGCAGGTCAGCGAGGTGGAGGCCGTCAGCGAGGTGGAGGCCGTCAGCGAGGTGGAGGCCGTCACAGCGAGGTGGAGGCCGTCACAGCGAGGTGGGGTGGAGGCCGTCACAGCGAGGTGGGGTGGAGGCCGTCACAGCGAGGTGGGGTGGAGGCCGCCCGGTACAGCGAGGTGGGGTGGAGGCCGTCACAGCGAGGGGGGTGGGGGTGGGTGGACGTCCAGCGAGGGGTGGGCCGTCACAGCGAGGTGGGGTGGAGGCCGTCACAGCGAGGTGGGGTGGAGGCCGTCACAGCGGGGTGGGGTGGAGGCCGTCACAGCGAGGTGGGTGGAGGCCGTCACAGCGAGGTGGGGTGGAGGCCGTCACAGCGAGGTGGGTGGAGGCCGTCACAGCGAGGTGGGGTGGGGCCGTCACAGCGAGGGGTGGAGGCCGTCACAGCGAGGTGGGGTGGAGGCCGTCACAGCGAGGTGGAGGCCGTCACAGCGAGGTGGAGGCCGTCACAGCGAGGTGGGGTGGAGGCCGTCACAGCGAGGTGGAGGCCGTCAGCGAGGTGGAGGCCGTCACAGCGAGGTGGGGTGGAGGCCGTCACAGCGAGGTGGGGTGGAGGCCGTCACAGCGAGGTGGGGTGGAGGCCGTCACAGCGAGGTGGGGTGGAGGCCGTCACAGCGAGGTGGGGTGGAGGCCGTCACAGCGAGGTGGAGGCCGTCACAGCGAGGTGGGTGAGGCCGTCACAGCGAGGTGGGGAGGCCGTCACAGCGAGGTGGAGGCCGTCACAGCGAGGTGGAGGCCGTCACAGCGAGGTGGGGTGGAGGCCGTCACAGCGAGGGGGTGGAGGCCGTCCAGCGAGGGGGTGGAGGCCGTCACAGCGAGGTGGGGTGGAGGCCGTCACAGCGAGGTGGGGAGGCCGTCACAGCGAGGTGGGGTGGAGGCCGTCACAGCGAGGGGGGGGAGGCCGTCACAGCGAGGTGGGTGGAGGCCGTCACAGCGAGGTGGGGGCCGTCACAGCGAGGTGGGGTGGAGGCCGTCACAGCGAGGTGGAGGCCGTCAGCTAGCCCTTGAGAGGGCCGGGCCGGCGGCGAGGGTGGTCCAAGAGGCGGCGCCTATTTTTCCACATGCCGATGTGACGGCGCCACGGCGGCACGGCCCGGGCACGGCAGTCGTTGCGGAGTTGGCCAATAACGACAGCAGCCGTGCCGGGCCATGCCGTGCCGGGCCGCCAGGGCAGGGGGCTTTTGATATACGCCCAGGGCCGCCATGCCTCATAATGGCGTTACAGGAGTTACAAGTTTCGGGCCGGACGGCGGGACGGACGCTGGACGAGGAGGGGTGGGGGAAGAATTGAAGCGAAGGGCTGCAGCGTGCGGTGGGGCCGGTGGGGCCGGTGGGGCCGGTGGGGCCGCAACTCCTCCAAGTAATGCCCCATTACGGCAAGGTGCCATGCCGGGTGCCTCCCTGGTGCTTCCCTGGCTGGCCGGGGAAAGTTGAGCGCCCCGCGCCACGAGCAGGGCGGCAGGATGGACTGGCGCACAGTGGGCTGAGAAGCAAAAAAAGCGAAAAAAATTCTAATCGACGTAAAAATTGCTACTGGGGGGTTTTTGGGTCCGAGAAACTCAAATCTGACGAAATAAAAACCGAAAACGACCGGCAGGGGGGGATCCAGCATTTACGGGAGGGGGGGGGGGGCAGGGCACCGTAACGTCACAAAACTGTCGTTACTTTTCATCAGTTACCCGGTACGTTACAAGTTTTAGACCAATTTCCCAAAAGCAACCATCGTTACGTTACGCATAACGTACCCGGTAAAAAAGGTAGTTCTGTAACGTTAGGGGAAAAAGTATCAAAGCTCTCGGGACGCCGTGGTACCGGTAAAATCCCCTTTATCTCCAGAAGTAACGTTATCAACGATTGGTTTAACCCTGCGGTACGTTACGCGGAACCGTTCCAGCTGGAACTCATTGAACGGTCACGTTTGGAACGGAAATGTAACGTTACTCCAGCAATCCCCAAAAATTGTGAAAAAAACTGCTGCACCTCCGATCCCCCGTCCTCGCCACTGTTACCCTTGCCCACTATTTCTCCCATAAATTTCCCCTTCCACCGTAGTGACGTGGTAAAAATCTTACCCCGCCACGGGCCCGAACCACGAACCAGACGAATGTGGGCGCGAGCCGCTACCGAAGTAGCGACAACATTTCCTCGGTGGAGAGAAAAGCTCACGCTATTTTGTTACGACAGTGGAGAAGATATTTGGCTCGGCCAGCAGTGTTGCCGTCTCCCTGGGGGCGACATCGCAACGCTGCACCTCGTCTGCTGTTCGCGACGGATTTGCGACGGCGACGGGCCCGCCCGCTGGACTCTGACTCTGGCCCGTTCAGCCAGCAGGCCGCAGCAGGGCTGAGTTCGGAGCGCGCCGGCAGAATGACACTCTACTAGACCACACCTCTCTCAGACGTCGCTCGGCCCTGCGGCTTCGAGCACCGGTAACCCAGGCGAAAGGTCTGGGGATCGATTCTCGAGCGGTTTGTTTTCGTCCGCCGCGTCGTTTTCCTCGCTGTGGACCCATTGCCGTCTCAACTTCTCAACCGCATGTCTGCTTCTCGTCTTTTTTTCGAATAAATAAAGTCGCAGACCACTTTGAGACGAGAAAAAGACACGGACGCGCCCGCGCTCACGCTGTTTTTGTTTTGGGTTCCGTCTCAAAGTCGTCTCAAAACCGTCGAGCAGCCGTCTTGTCATGCTCTTTGCGCCGTCTCAGAC